GCTGGATTGGGAAAGTACTTTTTCATATAACTTCAGAAATACTTTCCGTACGTCTAAGAACTGGCGAGAAATTGGAATATATTCTTTAATTCGAGATCGATCTCTTTCCTTTTATGCAATATTCTAAATTACTGTAAAAACAACATCGCATGATCATTTTAAGCGTATACATATGAAACGCAATCCTGGAATTAAATTCTTTTTATCAGCTCAAGTAAAAAATGTGATCGATCGATCGATCAATTGATGAATCGCGAAATAAAATTCCACGTCGCAACAACATTAAGTTGTGTACAAATCGGAATAAGCTAAAATAACTAAATATATAATAACACATGTCGCAAAAATGAATCTGTATCTCAATACCCTCATGGTAATAAAAGATTGTCACTATATTACCTGTTAATCAATTTTTGTAAATCGATCAGTTATTTGATTGCTAAGAGAGTAATTCCGGCGATTGAATCCCAGTCTGTACGCAACTTTACAGTACTCGAGTATAGACGAGAAGAAAAGCAGGTAGAAGAAAAACAATCGCAGTTTGTCGTAACCAGAGACTCCAGCTATAGCACTAGACATAATATTTACTCCTGCTCACCTGCCCCCGCAGGCATCCGTAGTGGAAGCCATCTTGGATCGGGAAGGTCGGGTGGAGGATCTAGAGTTCACGTACATACACTTGTTCAAGTTTGTGCAAAGGATTACCATTAACTATAAACTCAACTTCTCTACAATTTAATTCATGTAAGAATAATGAAAGAGTAGCAAATCTATGAAAACATCCGGAATCATCTTTTAATAGTATTAATACTCCCTAGTTGTTTTCCAAGATGTATTTGCTTTTCCTGTTTCTCGTTCCAATCGCGAATTATATTAAATAGATAGGCATTACATAAAGAGTTTCATGAACCAAGATTCATAAGATAAACGAAACACTGATAGAAAAAGCTAAACGTATACCGATTTTTAACTACTCCACTCACATTCGTGGTACACATTTACCATTGATATAATACTAATGCAGAGTCTCCTTCCCGAGATCCACAGTTTATCAGCGTTTTCGGCGGGTCACGGGTCTCGGTTTACCAGAAGTTTCGTGGTTATGGAACTAGTCCACCCGGCGCGACGTAGCACGACGCCCCATCGGGACCGTGTAAAACCAGTCCTGCGGGTCCTGGGCAAGAGCAACGCGTAGATTACGGGTTAAATGGTTTTAGGGGTTAAGGGGCACCGCGACGCGTCGCGTCCAAAAGGAACGCACGGAACGAAGGCGCGTCGCCAGAAAAATTCGCTCGACGGTCATTACTTGTCGCGACACGCCTTTTTTATCGGCGATATCGTTACGCGCCGGATAATTGGAAGCCATTTCGAGTTCTCTCTCACCCTTCCTCTCGCCTCGGTCTTTTTTCTCTCCCTTTCTGTAATTTTTTCTCTTCTCGTTCGCTGGCTGAATATTCGGCTGTTTCGTTCAACGGGATATCAACGCGTAGGTGTGCGTGCGCGCGTTTACTTTGTACAAGCGAACGCGTAACGTGGAATTAAATCGGGTCAATTAAGAACGCGTATTAATATTGCTCATTAATCATCGGTACGCGGTTACATCGATTATTTATTCGTAAATCAAATTTAATTACTGGCTGCACGACCCAGCCCAGATTTACTCGGCCGTATAAATCATCGATTGTCCGGCGTACGGGATAAGCAGCCGGAGGAAGCTCGGATTGCGAGAAACGGGCTTTTGAAAATGATTCCAGAGTTGATGCGAGATCTATTAAGATTAAATTATACCGCGACTAAAAAATATAATATTTCCCGACAAGGCGACGTTTAACAACCTCGCAAACGAGAAATTATATTCCACTGAAATATCAAACTCATTTATCCACGTAAAAAAATAGAACAAAATTGTGGTAAGAGCACAAAGAGCAATTTCCGATTTCTTTGCGAGCCACTGAAGAAATCCGACCTTTCACTTTCTCGTGTCGAGTATCTCTTCCCGCGAAACGAGGAAACAAGGGATCCCAGTGAATTCGGGTCACGTGCGAGACGAACACTCGGAAAATTCCATTTTCCAAGTACACGCGCAACCGATACTCAGAAACACACGTACGTACGAACCCTTAAGCCCAGGCGGCCCTCGCGAATTCGCAGGGCGAACGAGTAAAGTCATCACTTCGATGCGTTTCCGTCGAACGATATCGATTACGAACGATTCGCTTTCTCTTGGGCGAACGGGACTACTCAGGAAAAGTCTCGCTATTCCAGTGAGACGTGTGTGCCTGCCCCGGTCCCCTTTCATCGCGTGAAAGCAAAAGTGAACGTTTCCGTGCCTTGACTGATAGTTCGGCGACTCAGTTTCTATTTTAGTCGTGTCTACTCTCAATGTCGAGTACAATCACTTCTATGTAACGATCGCCTGTTTCTGATAAGTACAAAATCAATAAAGAATCCAGTTCTCATCTGAATTTGTCTACCAATATATTCTATGTGTCGTATGACGTTTGAACGCGTATGTACATTGGCGATGTTTAGTTAACTTTGCAATTACAATACGTCAGAGTATTCTTTTTTGTAAGACATCGACAATCTCGGTTCGAAAGATCAATCCCGAGAGCAAGCACATCGTTCGAGGAACTTGGCAGCTGCGGGCTCGTCGAAACTGTCAGGTCCACCCACTGGTTTCGCAACCATTGTTATTCCAGATTGCATTGCAAATTAGATCACGAACTGGCGTCACCCTTCCTCTACCCTCGCCGGGTCTGCTCAAGTTGCAACACCGTAGCCCGCCCGGTTCAAGCTCCTCGTCGCGAACCACCCCTCTCGGCTTGCATTTCCGCTGCTACCCCTGTCGTCTTGCGGAACCGTGTCGCGGCACTGTGTGTACACGCCCGTGGAAAAATAAAGAAAAGTGAATTGTTTTTCCACGAAAGAGGGATCTGCTTTTCTATGCTTTTCTTCTCGCTCCCGGGATAATTGTCGAATTATAGTCGGAGACCCAAGTTCGAGGGAGTTTCTTTACGTGGACTAAGTGGAGTATTCCAGACCGGAATTTTCAATAATCCCATGGAATAAATATTTGTCTTCCGGATGTGTGAATTTTACGTATTCTGACATCTAGAATGATGATGCACTCACTAAAAAATGTAAATATTCTAAACTTGAATGAACTTCTTTCAAAATCGAGATATTGAATGTAATAGGGACCAGAGTTTATATCATCGAAGGAGTTCCCACGCGTGTAAATTCACTCGTTACGTGCTTCCGTAATTTGTCAGATGGACAAGGCTTAAGCACCAGGCTACTGGTCATTTGCCTATCGCGGGGGGCTGGGAGGGGGGTCCGAAAATTTATCGACTGATTTCTATTTAGGTGGTAGGATTCGCGCGCGTAAGCACGGCCGCCGACGACGGTACGGATCGATAACGTCTAGCGTCGCGGCGACGACGACGGCGGCGGCGGCGTCCTCGGGAGGCAAACAATACGTCCCGTGTTCCGGAAGTCCGACGTCAGGGCCATAAGCACGTCGTACCCGCGCGAGACAAATCGAATCAGGGACGTTTCCCTCTCTATCCGTTCGCCTTTCCGCTTCCCTTTCTCTCTTCATCGTTCCGTGTTTTCAAGGCTGATGTTATCAGGCTCTTGTCGCGTCTGCTGGAAATAAATCTTTTGTGGAAGCGACGAGAAGAAGAACCGTTTTCGCCTCCTCTCGTCGGCTACGAAGGACCACGGGGTCTCGGAGAAAGCAGATGACGGGAAGTCGATTGAAAAGATGGAACAAAGTAGAGAGCGAGCAGAACAGGCGAATACAAAAAGCGAGAAGAGGTAGGTATCGACCACTTTCAAGGTCCGATCTTACCATTAGTTGGAGTAGAAAAGAGCGGTGAAAGATGAGAAAAATTGTAGTACTCATCCTTGGAGGTAAATTTTATCAAACGTGTGAACGATAGACGAATCAAATTACATATATTATATCCTGACACTTACTGTTTGGGGCTACAGTTCGATCGCGTTACCATTAACAGGATGGGAAGAAATCTCAGAATGACGCATCGCAGTGATAAAAACATATCACCCAAAAATTCATTACGCGATTCGGGAAATATGAGAGCCATTTGGAAGCCTTTGATTACGATCTTCGCTGAGAAATAAATCTCGCGAGATGAAGGGGAAGAAGAAGCTCCGTCGAGGAAAACCTTGAAGAAGGAAAGTCGCGTCTGAATGGGAACAAAGGAGGAAAAAGAACAAAGAGTCGGTGGAAAAACTGAACGGGGAAAGCGAAAAGGAGGAGAGAAACAGAGAGAGAGAAAGACAGACATAAAAAGAGTAGGAGGATGGAATGTGAACGCGAGAGCCGTGGTCTGGTTTTCCAGACGGCCGAACGAGAGGAAAACATGTGGATTAGATAGGCGCAGCTGCGCTACCATCCCGGCCGAGATTAGATAGCACCAGCTTTTTTTCCAGACAGCCTTCGATGTTCCTCGAATCGCGTAATAATCTCGTCGAAGGTCGACGACGCCGTCCGCAAGCACCTCCGTCAGGCTGGTAAATCGCATTTCCTTCTTTTACCTCTAACCCATTCCCCTACCGTTCCAGTATCCATCGTTATCGCCTGTCGCATGTCGGCAATCCAAAGACGCATGGAACGCGTTATCGGGAATCGGGTATGCGATCGAATAGTTGATGCGAGGCACGCGGAAAACGCGGTCGAGACGGATTCTTCGAACCGTATGGAAAGAAGGGCAAAACTGGTCCGATGTGTCAATCGACCGAATGATTTAACATGAAGCAAACGAATTGTTAACGCACGAATTTGGTTTGATCATATAAAACTTTTTTATCTGTAGAAGTGACCTAATCTTAGTCGTCACCATTTTAATCGTAATATCTAATACCTAATGCAACAGTCTGACAACAGTCTGACGTAATTTTTTTTCCATCTTTGCTCACTATAATGTGTAATCATATAGAAAGATGAGTGAGGTAACGAGTGATTGACTCACCGGTGTGGCAGGATGACGGTAGTCCTGCAGCAGGAGACGTCGTTGGTGCGACGCCGGGAATTCCTCGCGGTGATGATGATGGTGGTGATGATGATGCCGATGGTGATCCAAGATCGAGGCGGAGGCCGGCTCGTCGTGTAGCAGTCGACGATGGTGAAGATGATGCGATACCGTCGCCAGGACACCCACGAGTGCTCCAACAATCAGGACGAGCACCACTGACACTATGTAGCTACTCGCACTCACTGTCAACAGAAACACATTGCCGCCTTTAATACATCTGCATGAGCGTCGGTCAGTAATAATAAATATCGTGCATAATGATAACCGTCAGAGAACGCAGCGTTTTGCATGAACTGCAAATTAGTATTAATGATCTTTAAAACTAGAAGTTGATGAATACATTTTTATTACCAATGCGCAAACGTCTTTTTCTTACCCACAATACTTTTTATCCTTTTATTGATCGAATACTTTAGCAAGGAAATTGTTTCCTTCAATTTCAATTATATTTAATTGTAAGAAATTGGATAAAGCTTAAGGATGTATTGGCTATACAGTCAATCCCAAAAGTTTATGCACTTTAGAAACGCATTTTTTAAAAAGAAATCAGACGTCGGAAGAACACTGCTAATAATAAACAACAAAAAAAAATTTTCGATTTTTCCGAGATTTTTCCAAGGGGTACCCCTTCAATTTCTTCCAAATTTTCGTTTTTTGCTAATAACTTCCAAACCGTAGGATCTACGGGAAAATTGCATACGACCTTTCTTG